CATCACACCCTAATTTGATTGTAGTTTCCTTACTGATTTTTTGATGCACTTAACCCCCAGCGAAGGACACATTTGTTACACTCGCCGCCACTTGGCTGTGCGCTCGACCATTTTCAGGGTTCGAGGTGGTTTTTGGGTGCGCCAGGACCTGATTCCGAAAGTCAGGCCAAGGATGAGGGGTTTTGGTCCTGGTACCAACTGGCAGGGTCTGCGGTCTAATGCCAGAGGATTAGCGTCATATGCTTGCATTTTCCTTTCCCGGTGGCTCGCGTCTTTGTTAATTTTTGCGAGCTCGTTGAAATTCACTTTGGCGGAGAGAGAAAGGAGACATGGAAAAGTGTTAAGGGGTCGCTGGCAGGCTGTGTTATGAATATCTGAAATTTTTGGCGGCCTGACTCTGGAGTCTAATTCAATTTGGTGATTATCGCAAATTGAATTTGCTGGCTGGGCCACTCGTGCATGCGCCATCAGGAAGCCGGGCATCGATTTAATTTGTGTAGCTCTCTGGCTTTTTGAATGACAACTCATTACTACAAATTGGTAATTGAAATTGGAAATGTGTCATTAGATCGGGAGGTTTTGTTTTTTCTTTTTCGGTGTTTTTTTCATAGGGATATTTTGATTATTGTTATCCTTGAAAGAACAAGGCTAAAAATTGTATTTTATATTAAATATTACACTATATACTATGGGTAATTTGACCTAATTTATTAAACAAAATAAATAAATCTCTGGTTTATTATGTATCAATGTTATTACATGGCAACGACATTGAATTGAATAAGATCGATAGATATATGACAAAATATAGTTAACTTTTTTGATAATATTAAAAAATAAATACCTATGTGCTCTCAAGTTTATTGTGGCTATTAAAATATAAATTTACCTTTAGGTACTTTTTAATTAAATTATTTCTACGCCTACTTTTCTCAGGATATTTTAAATTATTTTAAAAATATTAGTTTTTTGTATTGTTAATGTTGTAAATATTCGTTTTTTTATTGTTAATATTATATTTGATTTGATTTACTTATTTATATAACTTTAATCATAAATGTTCCCTTTCTAAGCTCGGGTTTTCGAACCCTTTGGCGCAGAGGCTGCTAATATGAGCTAGTTTGAGTATCTGCCGAGAAAGTAATAACACTGATCTATAAAAACTTTCCTAATAATATCTAATTATTTATGAAATTAAATTGATGGTACTTTAGCTAAGCATAGTGACAGCATCTTTCAACTAACTAAGAATAGAACATTTACAGTGTATGCCCTGAAGTAGGCAATAGTTTTTTTACTGCCTTGCGTTAAACTTAATTTAAATTAGATTTAAGTTAAAAATAAATTTCTGTTGCCTGTTTTTGAAAGATAAGGTAAGAAAAAAATATTCAAAATAATAGCAAAAAATATCCATAAGTAATAAAAAATTGTTTTAATCAGTTTGAAAATTAAAACATTAGAAAATAGGTTTATTCTAGTTAAAAATTCTCTAAATTTATAACCATTTTTATTTGCCTTTACCTAAGATCCTTTCCCTACCTTTAATTTTCAATAGCTTTCTCTATTTTTTATGTTTTTTTCCTTGATGATCTAATTAAGTCGTAGGGTACACAACGCGGAAAAAAGGTTAATTATGTTTTACAAGCGTTTGCTTTCCGACGTGATGCAGGCCCTAAGAATGTTTTTTTTTTCATTTTTTGTTTTAATTTATATTTTTTATTGTTAAGCACTTGTTAATGCATATGTCAAACATTAAGAATTACAAATTTAATAATGCCAAGCGACGCAAAAATTAAACCTTGGTTAGTTAGTTAAAGTCTGCGTTTACGAACTCCTTTATCTTTGCTTTTCTCATTTTCTTTCTTTTTGTAATATCAAAATTATTTTAACTTAACACTTTTTTAAATTAAACCCTTTGTAATTTATAAAAATACCTTGCGACGAGGGACGTGTTTCGGCCAGATTTTCTTCCTTATTCATTTTAAATTTTTATGATGAGATCCTTTATTGAATTAGCTTTCACTTTGCTATCAGCGTTCAATATTATTTGTATTTAATTTTTAAAAGCTGCACTTTTTAATTTTAAATTAAGAAAACATGTGAATTTTTTGTTAAAACACTTGGCTCCATTATTGTGGAGTATCTTTGACTTAATCCGAATCCGTATCCGCATCCGCACCGACGGCACTGCGACTCTGCTGCGACTTAGCGATGATGATGTTAACGTCTCGATGTACGATTCAGGATTCCCGATGGCTGCTGGCACCAGATTTATCATAAAAGCATGACAGCAGCTAAACACGGTGATGTGTCCAGCACTCCAGCACTCCCAGCAGTCGGCCAACCAGCCGTCGGGCCAACCCCGGAATAGCGAAAAAATACTCGAGCTCGTATATCGCTGGATATAATCCGCGGTCGCTGAGTGGGCAGAGGAAGGACCTCCTCTTGTGCGTGTATTTGTGAGGACAAAAAGCACATATACCAGAGCGAAAGCAAGGAGAAAGCAGAGAGCATCGAGCAACGAGCAGCGAACAAGCAAGAGGGGGGGAGAAGGGGGAAGGATAACCGCACCCGCACAACCCGCTGTGTTCTTCCATGGCAACGGGAAGCGGAGACTTTTAGTGGCAGCAACTCTGGTGGCGCATTTGCTTGTTGGCTTGCTTTGATTCGTTCCTTCTTGATGCTGCTGCGGCAGGAGCTTGACTGTGTGTGTGCCTGTGTGTGTGGGTAAGCCAAGCCACAATCGCAATCTCCAATAAACACCCAGCTCTGCGCTCTCTGCGCACACACACACACACGTATACAAACAGCAGAGAACGCTTGGCCGCCATCATGACTCAAAGGTGGGCAAGGAGAGAGGCTAGAGAAGTGCTGTGCCTCCAGTGGGCGTGCAAGTGGGAGAGGCAAAAGGTGGAGGCAGAGGCAGAGGCAGAGAAGCTCGACCTCGACGCAGCTGCGCTGGCGCTCGTATAATCGTCTTGGGTTTTGACATTTTGTTTTTGTTTTATAATACCTTTTGTGATGTTGCTGCCTGCGACTTTGCTCTGGCTTCCCTTCCCTTGTCCCTCTTCGGCCTTCTACGTCACACTTGGCCTCCTCGTCTTCTAGCCAGTATTGTCCTCCTACTGCTCCTCTCCTCTTGAAATTGCCACCTCCCAGTTAACTGTAATTGAATTGAAGAGAAAATTGTATTTGCTCCTTGCCTTGCTCACATACATACTGATGCATCTGCATTAAGTATACGCAATTTTATAACAGTAAACTAACCATAAACCTATGATATAATCTTATGATGGAGGAGCGGCAAAGAAATTGTCTTTTTTTTTTAAACAAATTTAAAAAAGGCACCAAAAAGTTAATTAATATAATTGGGGTTTGTTTTTTATTTCGTAATATTTATTGATTTCTGAAGTTTCATTTTGAAGTAACATTCATTATTATTAGTATTCGACTTTAATGAGCCTTATTATTATTATAAGTTTTAGGTTTTTATTTTTCAAAAACAAGAAGAAAATGAGGAAAAAATTTATAAATAAAAAAATAAGGAAGAGAAACACAATCATTCTATAATATTAAAAATCCTTTGAGTAGGCCTTCATATTAAGTATCCGTCGACGCTCTTTCTCATCATCTTTCTAAAGAGATACTTCTTCTATAAGAAGACTAAGCTAAGTCTGCTTATAAATATACATAATTCTAATTTCAACTTATAAATAGTAAGTTGTGTTTTTTTAGAACCGATTAAGAGCTTTTTTTATGAAAGTGATTCTTAGTAGTTGAATTTTGTCCAGGCAATTAGGAATCTGTTATTTTGTAAGCGATCAGCTTATTCTTCTCTATAGTTTTTAATCCATTTACTAAGAACTTCTTTAGAACTCACTAGGCGAAGCATCAAGTTGTGCCTCTTCATAGAGCCTAATTAATATTCTTCTCAAGTTAATTCCCAAACTTTCTCAGTGTATATAATAGCCGACTGTAGCTTTGGTAATCATTGCTAAAAAAAATTAAAATAAGATTTTACATATTTGGTTTTGAAAATTTAAAGACTTTTGCCAAACACAGAAGTAAAATATGTTTTCAAAATTATAAATTTAATAAAACTTTTAGAGTATACAAATTTCGGTTTTCCGTAAATTTAAATTGAATATTATTTTAGAATTTCTATTTACCTTTCCATAGAACATTTTCTTTTTTTTGAGTAATTTTTCAACAGTAAAGCTCACTTGAGCTAAAGATGGCGGCGGATCCACTAATCCAATAATCGATAAATTTTGCTCTTCTGGTTGAAGGACGAGAATGGCGGAAATAGGGGGGAATTCCCCAGGAAGTGTGGGGAATGAGGACGAGCGAACATTGAGTTCCGTTGCCCGATTTTGTTGTGGGGGCTTTTGGCATGCTTAATGCGCCGACATTAACTTTGTAACAAATGAGATGTCGGAATACAACAGTCAGGCTCCTGCCAAGCCGCAGCCTCTCTGCTCCTTGCTCCTCGCTCCCGTTACCTATCTACAATCTCCTTCTTTCTCTCTCTCTTATCGTGTATATTTCTCTCCCGGGGAGAGCGAAGAGCGAGCTGCAGCTGGCAGAAGTATAAACTTCGGGACAAAAGTGAACAAACGCAAAAGTCAAAGCGCTTTGCTGCGATGGCCACGCCCACCTAGCCGAGGGAGGAGCAAGCGAGAGAGAGAGAGAGAGAGCGGCGTTATCCTGTAATAACTGGGCATCAAAAATGCCCGGCTGTGCGAGCAGGATAAACGACAACGAGCGAGCGAGACGAACAGAGGCAACAGGGTTGGTTCTTGACATTTGAACGGCGACATTTCGCCTTGCCAGGATACACACACGAAAACGCCCACACACACCAACACAAACACACCACCCACCACCCACCGCTCACCCTCGTTGGGGAGAAAAAAAACCAAAAGTAAAATAAAAAGGATGAGTTGGCGAACCTTATCAACTGCAGTGCACTTTATTTAATCAATCAAAATTCATGGACCACTCCTTTATTCAACATTCAGACACATTGTAGCTGTGATTTACGTTACAGAACCGATTTTAAAAGTTTAAGTAATGCTGAAATTTTGTTAAATATATGTGGAATATTATAGAATTTCCTAGGATCTCAATAGCTACATATATAAACAGACTTTGTTAAGGATAATGTAATGTAATGTAACAACTCAGGACAAGGAGGAGGAGGAGGAGGAACATAAGGAAAACGATTCTCCTCTGATGTTGAAGCCTATTCCAAGGCTTCATTATTAAGTAAGAATGATCAATAATCAATCCTGGCCCCTTATCCTTCTCATTAACCAACATACCTCCGAGAGAGTTATATTCTCTGAATGGGGAGGCATTATAATTGTTTGTACCTACTCCGCGGTGTCTTAGTTTTTTTAAAGATGATAACGATAAGGACCTTAAATATGGCAATAATGACCATATCATAGCAAGTGATAACCGCCAATATGTTAAGATCTTCATCTTCACTTGCCGGAAGAATCCACGTCGTTCCAACACTGATCCCGTCGCTGTAATCAGCCTCCACGGCTTTATTGTGCCCTGCCAGAGAACTGGCAAACTCTAAATGATTCTGCTTTCCTCTAAGGCTGTAGGATTGCATGCTTAGCCAGCTGGAGCTGTTACACGTGCTTATGCTGGACTTGAGGCACCAGTAAAGGGTGTAGCCAATGAGATTATTCTTCTCTATGGGGTCGTCCCAGTGGATGCTCTTAGTGGTGTCGTTGTACCCCACATTCTGAGGTTGTCTTTGGAAGGCATTGGTAAGGATGGGCACATTCAGATGGCTGCTATTCCACGAGTTTAATATGAAGTTCTTACTCCAAAGGGTAACCTTGGCCGGCAGCTTGGGGTTCCAACTGCTGAATATAGCCATGTTGCGTCCTACTATCGAAGCCTCATGGCTGGAAATATAGGAAGAATGGAAAATATATGTTTTATAAAAGTACACATACTGAAAACTTAACCATTGCTTGCATTGGACCTTGTACCTTTCTGTTTCCACCGAAGCAAAACACCACAAATTTCAATAGATGTTCCTTCTTTTTCAGGTCGTGATGGAGCCCCTTGAGGATCGGAGTTTGTTGGGGAAGATTACAGGCTTTATAGTCTATAGGTAATTGCAGCAATGCATCAGTATATTCCAGCACTAATTGATGGGTTACGTTTCGTTTCAATTTATAATTGGTAACCAAACCAAGCTCTAACTTGAGCGTTCTGCCTAAACCTGCTAGCTGAAAGTCCTCAAAGACACACTGATTCTTAGTTATATTGTCATACGTCTGCTGGCAAATAACTGTTTCCTCATCATTTAGGGTCAGATTGTAGAGGAGATTCCTTCCCAAAACAGGCTCCGTTTCCAACTGATAAAAGCTACACACCAGTCGCTCCTTGCATGGCAGCCACTGACACTTTAAGTCCTGTATCTTTGGCACGACCCCTTGGCAGTAACCTTCCTTGTTCACAGCCAAAAGTGTTAGCCCCGCTTATAGCTCCAGCAGAAACGTTGTCCTCGGCATGGCTATGACTACTGATTAGTAAGACAAGCCTCCGCCTTGAAACTTTAACTTCAACTTGCAGTGCAGACATGATAACCAATTTCTTATGAGCCAATATTTGCTCACATGAAAAGATGGAAAGAGGTCTTGATCTTTCAAAGAACTCTAATAATCTTATAGATAAGCCGCAGATATAGTTGAGCCACGCCCACACATGATAAAGGGTATTCAGACAAGTCGAAATATATACAAAAATCCTTCAGCAATGCAAACAAAATACGTTTAGAAAATGATATTTAGATTCTTCTTTTAATAAATTCGTTATCGAAGAAGACACTTATATACAAAAACGAAATCGTACCTACATATAATTGATGTATGCATTATTTATGTGTACAAAATTTAAAATATAGAAACAAATATTTGAAATATATAATTATAAAGAAATTAGAGATAAGACTGTATTACACTGCCGAAAAAATCATGGCTTGATGTCTTGTTTACCTAAAAAACTTACATATTATTTCACGCATTTCCGGAAATAACAAGTATACATTTTTAATAGAGCTTATTATTTTAAAAAGTGCAAGTCATATACTTATGGATGGATTACAATATACAAAAAAACAAAACATCTCTGCTATAAAGTGTCCGTCTGTCCGCCTGTGATTACGAGTTTGTTTACTTTTAAACTAAACATTGACCTCTTGCATATGTTATTAGATTATTATTTTGGGTTTTTTTACAGGGTGATATTTGTTTGTGTGGGAATATGTCCCATAAGTTATTTGCAAATAATAAATATATTTAATAATATATATTATAAATAAAATGTATAAATGTGTATTAAATTGTAAACTTGTAAGACATACTACATTAGAAAATATACTATATTTAATATTTTATTGTATTATATTTTATTTGATTTATATTTTATAGGTGTCTCGAGTTCGAAACACTAATGTTTTTCATTGTTTTCAGATTTTGGTATAAATACCACAGATGTTTGGAATAGTCTTCAGTTTAAAAAAAATCAAACAACATGAAAGTTCTCGTGAGTTATATTTTTTGAGTGATAATAGTATAAAGCTGAAAATAATCTATTTTGTCCTTAAGATTGTGCTGCTTGCCCTGGTGTGCGCCGTTCTAGCCATTCCCCACGGTGGATACGGCGGACAGCCGGGAGGATATGGAGATCCTTACGGAGGTTTTGGCGGACAGGGAGGATATGGAGGACCGCAGGGAGGTTTTGGCGGAAATGGAGGATTTAATCAAGGAGGATATGGTGGACACAATCAGGGCGGTTATAATGGAGGATATGGACCAGGAGGTGGAGTTGGTGGACACCGTCAGGGAGGTTATAATGGAGGATTTGGACCAGGAGGTGGATTTGGTGGACACAATCAGGGCGGTCACCATGGAAATCATGGACATCATCATGGCTACTAAACTTTTGTAATAAATCAATAAAAAATAAATATATATAATTTCAAATTAAAAATTACATTCAATTAAATGAATTCAAAATCATGGCAAGGAAGTGGCTTGTGGCAAAATAGGTAATTAATTAACAACAAATAATTATTTTTTTCTGATAAATTCAGATTAAATATTTAATTTTTCTGAGAATAAAAAAAAATTGACCTTTTGATTACATTATCAGTGCTTAATTTTGTCTTTGGACATGACAAAATTGCTACGTTTTAGTACTAGGCAGCATGAAATAAATTATCAATTTATAAAACCATATGTTTAAACGTTGTAATAGATGAGGTATTCATTGATATTCTGTTTGATATATTAAACTGTGCCGCATATATATATATATATATAAAAGTTAGAATAAGAAAGTAAAACAACATTTTAGAACATTTAATCAATACTTAGTATCAATATTTTTGATTTAACAAACTCAAAGAAATGTTTGGTATATCATTTCGGCCATATCCTCTCGACCTATGGACTAAGTGAAAGAACCGATAATGTCTATCAAAGGCGATTCCACCGATGAGCATCTTGGATCCGTTGTACATTGTAACGATACAAAGGAGGTTTCAACAATGGACGTTCAGGATCCCAAGAACCATATGGCTATTACACTGGAAGTGGTTGAATTCTGTAAAAATGTCATACCTAAAAGCTAATCCAAGACTACTTACCGAGTCTGAATTTTAAATAATATATAGAGAAGGGCTATTATAGATAAAAATAGTTTCCATTGACCACATTTTTTGCTAGATGTTTGCTTGCTTCAAAGATGATTGATACACCCACAAAGTGAAATGAAATGCAATATTTTTCTCACACACCAATCTAGGGATATATCTTCATCAAGCCAGGGAGGGGATTGGAAAACAATGGGAGATTATGGCACGCCTTGTTTAACAAATCATACCCAGGTATGTTCAGGTAGATTTACCCTCGGATATGGCACTGATTGTGGCATATTTACCTTTCAAATTGGACGCACAATACAACAATACAAACCAAATGCGACTGACACTGAAGTCAGGATGTCCTTCTCTCTCGGTCAGAGGTATTTCCGGGGGTTAGCACCCAGCACCCAGGGCAGGGTAGGAAGAATCATAGCATATAGACAGACATTGGGGAAGGCACAGTTACTATATCGTTATATTTTTGAAGACTCGGTAGTTTTTAATCTAAATAGCAATCTATAGGGTTTTTGTTCAATTGTTTTGTTCGGTGTTTTGTTTTTATTTCGTTTGTTGTTGTTTGTTATTTTTTGTTGTATACGGGCTTTAATTTGAATATTTATTTACAATTTATTTAAGACTCGCTACCCTCGCTCAAGTCAAATATATAGTAACAGTTGCAATAAACAAGCTTTCAACTTATTGCTTACGTGTCTCTCATCAATATATAATTTACAAGAAAAACTTACTTATAGCTAAATCTCCGTTGATGTTCTCTGTATGTGTGTGTCTCTGTGCTGCTGTAATTTACTTTACGAATATTATTATTTTTACCGGCTGCTAAATATGGTTTTGATGCTTCTTCGTTTCGTTTATTTTGTATTTCATTACTAGTGAGAATATTGGGTTGGTTAGATTGAGAGTATACATATACAAATATATATATATATATATTTATATATATATACATATATAGGTCTGACTTCTATATACCAGTTTACAACGTTTCGTAGCTACGAATTGGGCTTTTACTATGCGCTTGCGGTTGCTTTTCGTTTTCATTGTATAAATAAAATAGAATATTTTTTGCTTTTGCTTCGCTTCGAATAATAATACATGCCATATACATATACATATATATATACACATACATATATATATATATATATAAGAAAATGCTCAATTACGATTCTCATAACTTATGGTTCGACGTTAACCAAATGAGGCCCTCGGACAGGCCATCGCCGGATGTGGCACACGATGGTTGTACATACCAATTGCGATCTCTTATTCTAGTTAAGCCTAGTTTTTCCTGGATTTCATGGGGTTTCATTGCTGCAAAAAAAAAAAAACATAAATAATTGTTAATAATCTATAGAACTATAGCAGGCAGTATAGTCACCATCAGGCAGATCCTGTTTGTTAGCAAATATCAGTATGATGGCGTCGCGCATCTCCCTATCGTTAATTATCCTATGCAGCTCCGTGCGTGCCTCGTCTATCCGATCGCGGTCCGCACAGTCCACCACGAATATGAGACCCTGTGTGCCCGTGTAGTAGTGTCGCCAGAGCGGCCGAATCTTATCCTGTCCGCCCACATCCCATACGTTGAACTTGACATTCTTGTACGTGACGGTTTCCACATTGAAGCCCACCGTGGGTATCGTTGTAACCGATTGGCCCAGTTTCAGTTTGTACAGGATCGCTGTTGTGGGTAAAACAAAAGAAAATTGTTAAAGAACGGTTATGCAATTGGTGAGGCAGAGAAACTTTGCTTGAATTCGATTTAAACAAGTGTATTTATTTTAAGATCAAATAATAACACCCTATAATTGCTTTGAAATTTAAAGCCTTAAACAAAAAACATTTAATGTTATGACTCCCTAAAAGGCAAACAAACAGCTAACTTGTTTAGGTTCTTGATAGATTACAATTAAGTTTAAATCGTTACAAATCATTATTTATTATGGGAAATTGTTATTACTATAATTATTAGGAAAATATTGTGGGCTCCTATACAATGTACATATGTATACATTGCAAGATATTAAAATCTGCTGATTAAGGGGCGTAATCTTTGGTTTTTTCCTCTGTAATATAGTTTAATCTTTATCAGGAGGAGTTATTTGTTAAATAACATCAGATAAACATTAAAATGGCTAGAGATAAACCTTAAAGCTTAATTGATGGTTATCTAAGCCCAAAATTTAATGGTCAAACCATTATTAAGAGTGATTATTATGATCTCAAACCTAAACTAAACTCGAATTCAATCAAAGTGTTAACCGGAAGTGATCCTGTAACGGAAGGCTCACTTGTTTTTCCAGCTGCATCCAGTCCAAGCATAAGAATTCGCATTTCTTTGTTGCCGAAAATTTTTGATAGTAGCTTTCCCATGGTGCCGCTGCTGCTGATGTGTCATCCATTAAACCTTAGCCAATCTGAAAAATGTGAGCAAACGGTCGAGGGTTACACACACGTATGGATACGACTGCCGCATATTTTGATATGCGAATGTGGAGTGATTTCGGGGCAGGGTCATCGGTGGAGAAGGAGGAGTCGTCGTCGTCGTCTCCCAGATAATAATGCCTTTGTAATTCAGTTATTCGCCGTATCAATTTATGATATAAGCACGCCGCCGCGAGAAGGCGCGTAAGTGATACGCCGCCGCACACAGATGCACATACTAACAGCCAGTTGTATACAGGGCCAATTTGGTGGCCATATATGCACGCATAATGTGCCGCGGCGGCGGAAGTTAAGAGCATTATTCTGCATAGTAATTTCACTTACATTGTTCAGAGCTCTACAACAATGCGAGAAAGAAACGGGCAGAATTTATCAGTGAAGAGAGCTTCCACACACACATACACAAGCGCACTCACACTCGCACACTCAGCCAGAGTCAAGCACAATTGGGCACACACTTATATACAGCAGATAAACACACTATATAGTGGCGTAAATTGAGCCAGAGTTATCTCAATTGCGGATTACTGCCACTGCTACTGCTCCACCGATGATGCCCTGCCCTTCGGCGCTCAGCCAGCAGCTGAAGCCAAGCCGGCTCCGTGATGTCGGTATGAAGAGGATTCCACGGAATTTCCTCGCTTGCTTAACACGTCACATACACGCCCGTGTAATACCAATACCAGCGCACACTTATACACACCCAAGTTCCTGACGACCGTTGTTACGCACCGCTTTCCTGCCCAATTCGATCCACGACCGCCTGCTTAGCGTTAACATGAAGTGCCTATGTGCGTTGGCCAAGCATAAAATGCATTTGCTAGCACACAACGGCCGAAAAACTATAACTAACAACAACAATTTTGCACTAATCTTCTTGTATTTATATACACATACACGAAGCAATGTGGCCCGTTGCCGGAAAGCGCAAATTCTTCACGGTCAGCGGTGCGAAAAGAGCTAAAAAATGCCACGGCCTCGATGGGTTAATACTGAAAAATACTGAATTCCGTTACTGCAGCGGAGCCGGCGGGCGAGTCACCTCTGAATGTTTGGTATTTTATGGGGTAAAGGTGTGATCAAAATCAGTTGGAATTTGAAAATAGGAATATAATATTAAATAATAAAAAAAAATAGAAATGTTGACACTTAACTCGAAACTTATAAGTGCATAAAAGTGCATATTTTTATGTTTTAAATCATATTTAACCTCTTTACTAGAGAAATAATAAATATAAATATTTATATATTTCCTGTTCGTTCGCCAAAGCAAGCTTACCTATTTTCTTTTATTAAGTTTTAGCCATAAATAAGAGTAAAAATAAAAATAAAAGAAAATAATAATATAAATAGTATTAATTATTATTAAATACCTCTGGCCGCATGGTATTTTCTGATGGTCCTGCTGCGGTCACACTGGCCGCGATTCGATTGATTCAGACTCCTTTCCAATTGTTTAATTTTGAAGCGTTCCTTACGACACTATCCTGTCACTCCACAAACGAATTATGGAACTGAGTTAATCGTCGCCCAGGCCAGAGAACACACAACACACACACACATGGCTGGCATATGTCCCCGCGAGGCGGTGCGGGTGAAAGTGAAGGCAAGTGGAAAGTGAAGGGAGGCCACGGAGGCGCGAGACAACAAAGGTGGCAGACTTTTATATTTTGGCCCTTTCCCCACAGAAATGCGAGCCGACGGCGCGATCGGAGTGGCGCAAGTTCTCCGTGGACCCGCAGATCACCACACTGGAGGTGCTGTACAGCCTGCTGGCCAAGGCCTTCGACGTCAAGTCGGACTTTTCCATCAAGTACAAGGCCTTCGATCCGGCGGGCAATGAGATCTATCTGGCAGTGCGCTCTGACTGGGATTTGGACGCCGCCTTCCTGCGGATACACAACATATCCATTCAGACGGCCTCGGAGCCCTGCCTGATACTGCAGATCGATGTCAAGCCATTCACTGTGGTCCGCGAGTGCGAGACAGAGGCTTCGCCCGGCCGAACTTCCGCGGGAGCAGCCGCTGCTCCACCGAGTTCTGCTCCCCCTGCGCCATCTGCCCGCGAGTTGATATCACCACTGCAGTCGCTGGGTGTCTCCCAAAAGTATGTGCAGCATATGCAGACGAAGCTGGGCAGCTCCATACTGAACCAAATGGAGAAGACCTTCTCTATAGTTCAGAAAGCTTTTAACCTGTCCGAGGAGCACATGGCCAACCTGCCTCCCCGACCACCCATGTGTGACAGCGAGTTCCGCCTGTTCCTCGACGCTCTGGGCCAGATTCAGCGCAAGGATGAGCTGCACAGGGTCATATTTCTAGGCGGTATCGATCCAAGCTTGCGTCGCGTGGTGTGGAAGCATCTGCTCAACGTGTATCCTGGTGGAGCTCATGGCCTGGCCCTCGACGGCCACCAGCGCATGGAGTTTATGCGGCGCAAGTCCGAGCAATATTGCCGGCTGAGGGACACCTGGAAGGCGGCGGTGAAGCGAGGCAGCGTGGCCGGCGAGCTGGCCTATGTGACCAGCATGGTGAAGAAGGATGTGCTGCGCACGGACCGCCTGCATCCCTTTTACGCGGGCAGCGACGACAATCAGAATATAGCGGCGCTCTTCAACATCCTCACCACGTACGCTCTGAACCATCCGACGGTGTCGTATTGCCAGGGCATGTCGGACATCGCCTCGCCGCTGCTGGTCACCATGAACGACGAGGCGCAGGCCTACATCTGCTTCTGTGCCATAATGGCGCGAGTGCGAGGCAATTTCATGCTGGACGGAATCGCAATGACACAGAAGTTTGCCCATTTGACGGAGGCCTTGAGCTTCTATGATCCGGAGTTCTGGGAGTACCTCAAGTCACAGCAGGCGGACGACCTGCTCTTCTGCTACCGCTGGCTTCTGTTGGAGCTGAAACGGGAGTTCCCCTTCGAGGATGCCCTGCGCATGCTGGAGGTGCAGTGGAGTTCGCTGCGGTACGCCAGCGGTGGTGGTGACAAAGAACTGCAGCTTTTTGAGAAGGAATTCGTGCCTCTGTCGGAGAGTTCCATGCCAAATAGCGCCAGCACCTTCTCCAGCTCGTACAGCGCCACGCCGACGAGTCCCTCTTATTTGCTGACCAAGCCCCGGGAGAATCCCTATACCAAAGTCTGTGCCCTGCGTCGTCAGAGCTCTTCGGCCTCGCTGAGCTCTCTAAGCTCTTCCCTGGGCGCCACGGGTCATGCCCTGGACAATACGAAGCGGTTGAATCACAGCCTGGACGACAATATGTCGCGACATGCTACAGCGGCTGCTCGAAGGCAGCGACGGACCTCGGCCAAGGCTCACCAGAGCCTGGATGAGTCCAAGATGCTGGCCCTGATCGAGGGTGCCATGGAGAATTCGAATGTCAAGTCGGTGCAGGACTTGTCGGCCGGCGAGGACACGGAGGACGATGATGTCTTCGATAGGAAGGAATCACCAAGTTTTCTGGAAACGAATCCCTTCAAAGATGATGCCCAGAAGACGCCGGAAAAAGTCAAGGACATAGCACCGCCCGGACGGGCTTTCCTGTGCAGCTCTTCCTCCTCGATTGTAGACGAGGATCCCGCGGACAGGAAGTCCAAGCTGCAGCACAAGAACATTCTGGCCGTAAGCAATATCATTGCCAAGCAGCTAGCCTCGAATGCCAGCCAGGTGAGCGAGAGTGTCAAGTGGGTGAGCAGCTCCAGTGGCGGGCACTTCAAGGATCTCAAGGAGAAGCTGGCGGCTACTAGTCGCCTTGGTCTCTCATTCGATGGCGAATCCGCCGAGGACGAGGGCGAGCGGAAGATGCCTCCAAAGCTGGTCAAGAACTTCAATGAATTCCTCAACTTTGCAACCATCAACAAGAACCGGATCTCTGATCGTTTTGCCAATCAGCAGCAACAACCAACGACGACGACAGCTCCTGCTGCGGTCACCAAACCTTTAGTGCAGCTCACAAAGGGCGGACTGGGCAGCTCCCTAGACGAATCCGATTCCTCTTCGGTTCCCGAAACCAGCTGGAGTGCCTCCACAGCCGCAACGGCCATACAGCAGGCGCAGGAGTTGAGCAGCTATAACCTGCAGTTGGATCTGGAGGGGAATCATCCCGGCGAACCGGACGAGACAAGCACGCCGCCGGATCAGGAACAGGATCCGGAGAACGATCAGGAGTACTATCCCATGACGACGGCCATAACGCGAGAGTTGCGGCTGGAAGCGGAGAACCTGGATCGCCAGGTGTTCGGGCTGCCCTTCACGGACAACGAGAACGAGAAGCGGGACGACATCGAGTACGAGAAGCTGGACAAAGACGCCATGGATCTGGTGGAGGACCTTAAGGAGAATGAGATCATCACATGTCCCGATGTCAGCGAGCTGCATCAGCGCCGACGCCAGCGGCTAGCGGCCAAGAGCAACAGTGTCCAGCAGAACGAGTCGCATACGTTCAATCCCTTCATTGACGAAAGCCAACTCCTAATGGATGGACACACGCCCCTGGGAATGCGCAGCAGTAGCAGCCTGCCCGAGGTTATCCTGCCCATTTCCACGGAACCCAGCCTGGTGGAGGTGTCGCCACTAGTGGAGATTGCCACAAATGCGGACGATGAGAGCGCCTACACGCGTTCGCCACAGCGAGCGTCCAATCTTAATGGCGTCACGGCGGGGGCTCTGCCTCCACCATCGGAATTCGGCGGCGGAAATGCCTTCCTCATGTTCCTTTGCCTCACACTGCTGCTGCAGCACCGCAACACCATCATGAAGGCGGGCATGGACTACAACGAGATAGCGATGCACTTTGACAAGATGGTGCGCAAGCACGATGTCACCCGGGTGCTCAACCAGGCCAGGCGCATGTACATCGAGTACCTCAAAGCGCAGAGCAGTCCCCAGCGCCAGAGGTCGCCCAGTGCAGCGGCGGCTGCTTCTACCCAAGGCACCAACTTGACGGCCTCGATGCCGGCGTAAGGCAGTTCCGTTGCAATCTTAGTGTTCCCCCGATTAGGCCCAACTCTCTCCTTGCTGAATTCAAATATTTTTTTAATCATGGAAAAGGTTTTCTTAGAAAAAAAACCTATTTGCATTTTTAATTGGTCTGCTTTCAACTTGATAAATTTTTGATTTAGTATTAACCCATTCTTAAATGCTTTTTATTATATAAATATGTTATTCCCCTAAAAGGATAATCTATATATTTTTAAAGCCCAACTTAATGAGTTGTCAATTGGCCAGAATCGGGAGTAACTCATGCTCAAGACGAAGGAGCGATATCTGTTAGTTAACAAACCTCAAAAAAATATGTAAAACCAAAGTCAAACCTTATTTTGTACGTAGATGGATTTTGTACTTAACTTATTTGTGAATTTAGGATCTTATTTATATATTATATACATATATTCAACGGCGAAGGCTTTGTTTCATTAGTCCGCTAAAAGAAAAATCATTCCATGCTCTTGTAAAGACTATACCTTAGGGCTGCTAAAGATATTCATTTACGGATAGCCCATAATCCAATCAACTATGATCTTATTACCTGTAATCGTTCTGTATCTAAAAATGAAAATAACTCTCGACGGCATACATTCTTTGAGCATAGATATGTCGCTCTCTCAACTTGTTCGGTAAAATAATTTTGTAAATTACAATCTTACGACGCTACGCTATGTAAAGTTATGGAAATCAACTTTTAAAGAATCGATTAATAAACGAAATTCGAATCAATTACAAAGGCAATTCATCTTACAATTTATTCGGTACAAAAAAAATACAAGTTCAATTCACAATCGAAACAAAGTTATACAAACAAAAAAGAGAAAATCAAAGTAAACACATGCATACGCAGTGATTCAGAAGTTGTATTTCTTCTTGAGGCGCTCACGGATGAGCAGGCCCTTGATCAGCTTCTTCCAGTTGCCATACACTCGTGTCTCGTACTTCTCCTGCTCCTTGCGCGCCTGCTCCTGCTGATCCTCCTCCCAGGCGGCTGTGACCACCTCCTTAAACTCTTCGCAGACAATAAAGCCATCGTACATGGGATGGCAGGCGCCCTGATGGAAATCGAACCCAATCACTGCATTGGCACAATCGATATTCAGCTTCTTGCAGACGCGCATCAGGCCGGGCACTAGAAATAATAAAAGGGAACAGAGTTATCTTCAGGATTCCAAATCCTTTATAGCTAATCTCACATCTCAGGTGGACCGTCTTCTTGGGCAGCATGCAGGCCTTGAAAAGCTCCACATTGCCATAAGCATTGCGTGGCACAATGCCATTCTCCGCCGTTGGTGGCTCATATTCCTGGGTTTGCCAATACCCAAAGATCTCCAGTGGCTGGTCCTTGATCACAGAGCGTGTAAGCTGAAAGATTTAACAAAAAAAATTAATACATTTCGGATGCACGGCAACAAAAACTACTCTTACCTTATCCCATTTGGGACGCGCCTTGACCACCTTGTAGGGCTGCTCGCCCAACTTGACCACTCGGGCGCTCTTCAGCCAGATATCCCGCGAGTGCAACAGATGGACACAGTCCCGAGCGTAGACAGCTTCGCCGCGGATGAAGCCCAGGGTGGGCGCATCTGGCGGATACAGACCCTGGAACTTGAGCAGATGCCTTTCGAGGACGTACAGTGGATGATCCTTGAACTCGGATATGGACTTGGGCAGCGGTTTGTTGGCATGGATGCGGTGCAGCTGCTCGTTTTCGGTAATGTCGCGCCTGGTGGGATGTCCCAGATATGGGTTGATCACCTCATCGAGCCATGCCTTCTCCACACGACCCTTGCGCACCGTAGTGCTCCAACTGGAACAGTAACGGGCTGTGACATCCTTGAGACTCTGATCGTCCTGGAAGGCGAACACGTAGGCCAGGCCGGGCGAAGCATTTTTCTGTGTGTTCAATATTAATTAATTATTAATTTAATTTAATGTAATTTAATTAATTTTATGAACATTTTGTTTATTAATTTATCAGGTAATTAATTTAATTATTAATTAAGTAATTAAATTTATTAATAATTTATTAATTTATAAATTTAATTTAATTAATTACTTAAATTTAATTAATAATGAAATGAATTAAATAATACAAATAATTTAAAAATAACATAAAATCAAATTATAATAATATATTAATCAATTATTTTAAATTAAATCATTAATTTTAATATTATTAATTTAAATTAATAATTTAATTAATTTAATAATTTATTAATTTAATTATTTTTAATTTAAATTTTTATTAATTCATTCAATAAAATCATTACTAATTTACTAAACAAAACAAAAAATAAAATAATTAATTAATAATAAGCTATAACTTACCCTTATGGTGTCCACACAGTGCAGCTTGCCCTTGAACAGATCTATGCAGATCCACTGCTCCTCGACCTCGGACCACACCTCAACCCACATGTCGGAGGCATCTGAGCGACGCTTAACCTTCGTGCCGCCCTCATCATCGGTGGATAACACTCGGCGATCTTTCCTCAAATTCTGCACTGACTTGGGCAGCACCGGTGCCTTCTTCACGGGCTTCGCAGGCTCGAATACCTCATCGTCCTGCGAAGTCTGTGACCTTTGCAGCTTATCCAGCTTCAGACGCTTCTTGGGCAATGGCCTGGCTTCATCATCAGCGCCATCCAGCTGGGGAATGCTTAGAGCATTGTTATCCTTCGGCCTTCGATGACGCAATTGCCTGCCGGTAGCTGCATCGGCGGTTAGGAAGCTGGGAGAGATATGAGCCTTGGTTTCGGGACTTTTGCGTGACTCCAATTTCGGTTTCGGTTTATGTTCAGGAACCTCCACGGCTTTGCCCTGCAAAAAGCCTGTCGAAATGTGAACTTTGGGCGATTTGCTGCGCGCTCGAGTGGTCCGCTCCTTGGGCTTCTCCTCCGGATTGGCGTTCTCTGCATTCTCGCTGTGTTTCGTCGAGCTCTGCAGCTTGACCTTGGATACGAGCAGCTTTGGAATAACCGGAGATCCAACCAGCTTCGACGAGGTGGCGCTCTTTGACTCCTCAACCTCTTCGTCTTTGGACTTCACTCGAGCAAGGCGGGTACGTCCAGCTACTGGGGAGCCAGTGTCCACGGGGGCAGATATCCGGGATTTCTTTTCTCCTGATGCCTCTGAAATCTTTTGGGTTGTGACCCTTTTTAGCAGGGACAATTGAGGTTTGGCTTTGGTTTCGTTTATTGGAGAAACCTTAAGAGCTGCCTTGGAGGTGGTTGGCTTCTCCTCAAAGGATTTGGATTTCTCGGAACGATTTAGTTTAGATTTTTCAACCAATTTGGAGGAGAGGCTGGCCTTCCCATCTTCCCTTTCTACTGTCCGTGAGCTACGTTTGGTTTCGTTTGGAATTTTGGAATCTTCTTTCTTTGATTTTGTATGTGATTCTTTTTTATGGGTGTTCGTGTCTGGTGAGGATTTGGTCTCTGTTCTGCTGGTCTCCTTCTTGCTGTGGCTCTTTTTTTCAGCTTCTTTTGATGTACTTGCCTTGCTGCTGCTCTCCTTAGGCTTTGCCTTGGTTGGTTTCGCTGGCTTTTTGTGCTTCTTGGGCTCATCATCATTCTCACTCTCCTCCTCATCCAAGTCCAGCTCCTGGCTCTTGTTTTTCTTGTCATTCGTCTTCAGTTTGATGGGAATCAAATCACTAGCTGCCGGTCGCAGCGGCATGGGCTGGAGATTCACAATCAGACGACAGTTCATTCCCATTCCCCGTGCAAGGACAATGAATATGAATATCATATCCTGCTTGCAGCGGGCTTCCTTGCGCTTGATCTGGGCCAGCAAGGACTCCACAATGGCCTTCTTGCTGGGCGCCGATTGCTCGGAATATAGATTGGGACTCAACAGCTTGATGGCCGTCTTGAACCAGGTGACAAAGGACTGCAAATACTTGAGCTCGGTGCCTCGTTCCGTGGGATAGGCATTCCGGCTGGGCAGGAGTTTTAAGGCAGCCTCCATCAGGGCATTCGTTTCACCCAACAGCCGATTGTACTTCAGGCTGCGAGCTGTCTGGCACATTAGGCTGACCTTGTGCAGCAACAGCTGGCGATCCTTGATGTCGCGATTGAGACGACGCTTCAGGGCATTCTCCAGCTCCAGCTGGGTCTTTTGCTCTTTGGTGGGGAGTAGGTTTTGGAGGCCCACATGGATCTCCAAGTCCCCGGAGACGTTTGGAGTGGCCACATCTTCCTCTTCTTCGTCATCTGTAAAGGGAATCGGAAGTGGGGTGGAAATGAGGCACTGAGTGGCATGATAACCTGTGATGGTTTGAAGTTCTAAAGACTCTAGATAAATGATTTTAAGATAAGTAAATTAAACAAAATTGAAAAACTATATAGTCTACAGTGTTAGAAATATTAAGTTAATCGATTAATTAACTCAAAAAGCTCTGGATTATGATGGAAATGTTTTAGACAATTAAACAAATCACGGTTTAAAAATCTAATAAAATTGTTTCCAAAAATAGGCACACATTTTCAATAAATTTTAAAACCCTGACTGAATAAAATAAACAAAAATTAAACAAAAATTAAATACAAGTACCGTAAGTATACCATCACCAATGAGAATGCAGGAGGATCGGGGGCAGGGAGGGCAGGGGCGAACTAAAAAAAAAAAAAAATCACCCAGTACAGAGAGCCATGGAGTCCTTTCAACATTTTGCATTTATTTATTTATATCATCATTTAAAGTGCATTTTAAATTTCAATTACTGAATTAATTACAATCAACATCCACTAAAATTGCGCTAAAATTACGAGTTTTTCATTTGATTTGATTTATTGCATCGTTATTTGGAGTATTTTACCATTAGTTATTTGATTTTTAGATGTTTATGTTAAGTGAATACAATTTCGCTAAAGTAAATTCGTTAAACATCAGTTCTAATTTCGTTAGCTACTTGTTATTTTGTTCGGTGAAACACTTGCAATTGCCATTAAAGTAAGTTACACACTCGACTAACTATTAAAAATCATCTTTATTACTGCTTGTTGCATCTTTAAAATCCGTCCAGTCCCCAGGACTTTTATTTCTTGGTATCGCGTGGCAAATTAATAGAATAAATTAGCAGAAAACAATCAAAATAAATGCATTTTCTGTATTAAAGTATAAAGTATCTTTGATTTAACTCGACTTGTGGGTGTGTGCAGACATTTAAAAACCACGTTTAGACTTCAATAAACATTTAGTTTATGCTTTTAACTTTCTTTCTTTAATCAAAGACCTTGTTATAAAAAGATAATTAACGCCATAAGATTTTTCCAGAATATTTTCAAGCATTCTAAAAATAAAATTGCTTTTATGGGCGTTATGCATCCTGTTACTACAAGGTCTCTGCTTTAACTATGTATCTTTAACACGCAGATTGAGCTTAAGCTAGTGCAAAAAACGTCAAGAGAATGTTCAGTTGATTTAATTTATGATTTCTTTCGACAATAAAGGAAACTTTTTTTTGTGTTTCTTGAGATTTTAAGAAGCGTTCTCTGGTAGTTTTCGTCTTTCAGCTTTCTATTTGAGTTCGTTTCGATCTGACATGGGTTTTGGCTCACACCATTATCTACGGGCATGCAATCAAAGGACTCATGGCCTGGTTAGTGGGTATAATAAATAGGTTTTTTAGTAAGCCAAGTTTCTGGATAAAGCGTTCGCAGCAAGAGCCATTTTATACGCTAGTTCCTCAGTCTAATCGACTAACAATATATAAATGTTACAGTAAATAGGTATATATTGTAGATACACATGGCCATTCTTTAAGCGCTTCTCTTCCAAATTTACAATCATGCACATGTTACAGCTGCGGTCAGAATAATAGAGATTAAAAGAACAAAACTGTGTTCAGAATCTCCTAAAGGGGAAGTTCTTAGCCCATTAAAACTTGGGATATTTAGAGAAAAGCAAATAACAGAAAATATCTCATTTTTAAACAAACAAAAACAAGGCTTTAGATAAAACATCAATTTACAATATGAATAAGTAAATGGATAGTATAAACAATTAAAATTTTCTATGTTCCTTAAATATATCTCATTTCATCCTATTATTTTGACCGCAGCTTTTCCAGTTAAGTAATTTCTATATCCTCACATCCACGAATAAACTTGGTACAAACAAAAACTACAACAGTCTCATACAGAGCAATTTGGAAGCTTGTTTCTTTTTCTTTTTTGTTTTTGTTCATTTTCAGATACCAGAAATCCCAGCGCCACAACCAACATTCTTTTTTTGTAAGCCATTGCTCCTCCACACTGCCTCCACTGCCATCGCTACCTTCTCTTACGGAAGACTGGCCGTCAAACTACTTGTATTTTCGCCTACCTGCCACTTCCTCAAAATCGGAGTCGTCGGTATCCCCGGCAGCGGCCACCACTGTGGACACAGGTCGCGTCTTTGTGTGACGCTTGATCCGCGTCGACTTGGTCTTGCTTAGACGCGACGGCCCATCCATGGGAGGCGGCGGTGGCGGTTGCTCTGCTACTCCTCCAGATTTCGCACCACCCGTTCCTGGCGTCTTCTTTGCTCCTCGCCGCTGATTTCCCTCCGGCTCCTCATCCTCCTCGACTACATTCTGGTAGTTCTGGTTCTCGCCCAATGCAAGCAGCGCATTGACATCCATTGTGGCAGCCTGGCTACTCGGCGGTGTGGCCGTAACATTCCGCCGGCTAAGTGCATCCCGCGTGCGCTCCAAACTGTTGGCGTTCTCAAGGAGACCGCGAAAGTCGAAGGCATTACCATCGGTCTTATCCTCGATGCTGCTGTCGTTGTTGTCCTCCGATCCGGAGCCAGAGTCCGAGAGGTTCGTGATGCCGGCATTGCAATCGAATTGCGGCACCGGCGACTTCTCCTTCTCCTGCTGCTGCTGCGCTGATGTCGGCTGGCCGACAAAGAAGCTGGATTGCAGGTCGAGATCGGCTGGATTCACCAGGTAGTCCTCCACACTGGATTCGCTGCTGGAATCAGCCGCGTTGTGCTGATCCCGAGCACCGCTTTCATTGGGCGTTCGGGCGTTTTTTGAACCCGATGCCGAGGGCGAGTTTTGTTGCTGGGATGGCGATGTGGGAAAGGTCTTGGGCGGCGGCCGGTACTTGTTGTATAGCTTGGAGCGCAGAGACTGTTGGCTGGGCTTCCTCTTCTTTACCGAGGAGCCCTTAATACCGCTGGGCGCCTTGTGATCACTAGGCGAAAAAATAGAAGATTAATATAGGATGGGTCACTGGGTCAGTCGGTCACTTGGATATACCCACCCCTTTCTGCCCGCTCCGGCGGATGAGCGACCACTGGAGCCGACCGCACCGCCTGCTGCCGCTCCTGCACCCGCCGCCTGCAGCTCATCGAAGTCGCTGTCATCGTCGTCGGAGGATTCACCTCCCTTGGCGTCCTTGCTGGGCTTCCACTCGTCCTCGCTGGCCGAGAAGCCCTCGGACACGGAATCCTCCTCCTCGTCGGACATCTTTTAATCCTTTCGGGCACGTTTTACATTTATGTATCGCGATGCGTGCCACTTACAGTTATTGATTTTTACTGCGCAGTTTTGTAGGACAATCGTTACACAAGAATATCCTCTCCGGCTTTATGGGTTGCCCATCGGTTTAGGCAGTGCTTTTGGCCAGAATTTTGCCTTGATTTGAGCTCGGTTTTCGGTTTGCTGGACAATTTAAACCAAATTGCGAAATTTACATTTTCGCGGTTGGTAGGAAATACAGTCCAAAAGCAGAGGGCGAGAACAGCGCGTCGATGCAGCAGTGTTGGAGAACGTCGGATTGCGATCGTATAACGGGTTCCGGAATTCTTTCATTTTTAACGGTTTTGAAGTGAAATGAACTGTGAATAAAATAATTCCAATAAATTGAATTTTTATAGATAGGTAGAGTAGATAAGGGCATGATAGAATTATAATAATATTTATAATTCTATCATGGATAAGACTCTGTAACCATTATAAGTTTTATTCTAAAAATCGCCTGATAGATTTATATATTTTTGTATTATTAATATTGATTTAAGTTAAGTAATATTTAATATATTAATCAAAAATACATTTTATATTTGATCAAAATATAAATATCATTTCATAAATATTATTTTTGACAAAAATAAAAAATAAAAATATTATTTTAACCATATTTATTAATGAACATCCTAAAAATCTGTAATAAAAAAATGCCGGAAAGGGATAGATTATCCCTCACAGGATATCATTCTTTTTGTTCTAAGTGAATTCTTTGTGGTTGATTTTTTTCATTTAATACGTTTTCCAATAATCATTTTTCGGTCTCTAGTACATAATAAAATTTACTATGACAACAAATAACTTTTTTTTATATAAACATTTTTTTCTTTACTAAAAAAATTAATTCTAACTTTAGTTATTTTGGTGTTAATTGTATGTAAAATGCAGTTCTAGAAATTTGTATAAAAAACGTTTATTTAATTTTTGGTATTTATTTCATTTATCGAGATTTTATGATAATCGACTATCGACTTGGTTTTGCGTTTACCAACACTTGAAATTCACAGATGTGAAATGTTTATTTACAAAATTAGTTGAAATCTCCTGCAAAATGAATTCCTCTGGGGAATTGCATCCAAACTGGTTGGCTCTAACCACGCTACCGTTGCAACTCAAGAGGTTTGTCCGTGCCGGAGATCCTGAAACTCCTGCGCCACCCAAGGCTAGCAAACACCAAATTGACGGGTTGAATGGCGAGGAGGCCCAGGAGTTCTACAAGGAGGTGCTGGAAACGCCGGTAACTTGCACTCAGAAACCTTCATCTAGCAAAGGAAAGGAACCCAGCAGAGTACAGAAAAAGCCCCAGTCGCCGTTTGATAAGGGGAAGTTCTTCCGCTTGGCGACTAGCAACAATGTGGAGGAGTTGTGCCACATGGATATCTCCGACGAGGAGATAAACTCTTGCGACTGCTTTGGTTGGACTGCCCTGATGATGGCTGCTTGTGAAGGAGCCACCGAAACTGTGGCTTGGCTCCTGCGGCGACAAGCCAAGGTAGATGTCCAAGACAAGTCCGGAAACACGGCCATGAAACTGGCTCAGCGAAAGGGCCACTCCGAAATAGTGCTACTATTGGAAGCAGTTTCTATACCCTCAGAGGCCAGCGACGAGGAGGAAACAGCCGATGAGAGCAGCCCATTCTACTGCGAAATCTGCAAAAGGGACTACAAGGAGACTCCCTGGCCCATTCATCAAACCTCCACGGTGCATCAGTTCAATATCAAGGCCCTGCCAGCCCACAAACTGCACAAGTTCAATATATCCGCCAAGAACCGTGGTCTCCAGCTGATGGTGAAGCAGGGCTGGGACCAAGAGCACGGCTTGGGACCCAGCCAAAGTGGACGTTTGTATCCGGTGAAGACTGTGCTCCGCAAGCAACGCACTGGCCTGGGCATTGAGCAGCAGCCGGCGCGGGTCACACATTTTGGAGCCTTCGATTTGAATGCCGTGAGGAGGAGAGATCCTTTCCATCAGCCGAGACGCAACCGGAGTGATATGCAGCGGGAAAAGGTGCGGGAATGGAAGAGGGAACGCCACCTACGCAGGGAATTAAGTTAACTAATATTAAAGAAGAAGTTTTAGAGGATTTAATGTAATCTTAAAGTTTTTAAATTAGAGTTCTAATAGGAATTCTAAAAATAAATGAGTTTTTAATATCATATAAACCAAGGTTTAAAAGTTAAAAACTTGTATGGATTTCCAAATTGATTAATCATGTTTTTTGGGATGATAATCTAATCACTTGATCTCGAACCCTAGTGACCTTGCAATCGGATAGTTGTTAATGGGTTCTTTGCCGAAGTTTGAGTTTTCGGTAATGCTGTTGCATGTCTGCTCTCTCTTGCTCCGACTCCACCGCGCTCCCACTCCCCCGGCACTCTCTCTACCTCTCTCTATGACATCCTGACCCTGAGGCCGCGATTTGACACGGTTTCCGCTTTGCGCCTGCGTCCTGCCTGTTCTTTGCGGCGGCGGAGACGTCCGACGTCCGGTATATAAGCCACGGCTCCGAAATCCTTCGCTCAGTCGTTTTCGCACTACAGTACCGTTAGGTTCGTCGTTCGCCAGTGGCTCCCCCGTTTTACCGTTAGCAAAGCGGAGCGCAGAGCAATAAAAATAATTTCGCAGTGCGTGTTTTAAAGTTCTACTCACGCTCGGCAATTAAAAAAGTGCCCGAGGTGGGAGTGCGGTCCGAAGGTCAACCCCAGCAGGACGCGTTCCAGTTAGGTAAACGGCGAGTGAATTATTAAAGTGCTAGAATAACGGTCATCCAGGGTAGCCGCAATAAAAAGCAACAAAAAAGGGTAGACTACGTAAATGTTTATTCCGAATTGCGGCAGTCTGGCAGCCCTGCTGACGATCAACACAAACAGCTGATGAGCGCCGCGAGTGTGTGTGTGTGTGTGTTTTTTTGGCGGAGCGTCGCTTGTTCGTATTTGTTATTGGCGCTCCAACGTGTTCGGTTCGGCTCCACATTTAAATAAGTTTTTAAAACAATTAACAATTGTGCCGACGCATCTCGTTTCGTTATCGTGCTCCGCCGCGTGCCAGTGTTCCGTTACCAAAAGTTGCCTGCACACGTAAATGGCGCAATTACGCAAAGCCAGCGAAATATCACTGGGGAATTATATTAAAAAAAACTAAACTAAAGCCTTGTGATAAGAATTACCAAATCTCCCACGGATTCTGCACAACACAAAAAATGATTTAATATTCGCGCTTTTCAGTGTTCTTGGGCTTTATGGTTTATTTTCGTAGCATTTATTTTGGTGATTTGTTTGGTTTGCATTGAACATGTACATATCGTTCCGCTCTCTTCACCGCGCTCTCTCTCTCTCTCTCTGTGTCTCTCTCTCGCTCTGATCGTCATTGCCAGCCTCCCATATGCTCTCCGCCACCCCTATTCGCCACCCACCCACAGGGCCCTCTCCATGAACTTGTGTTATAGTTGTTGTTGGATTTTACACTGCAGTTCGCTTCCATTAAACCGATTCGATTCGATTCTATTCGATTTGATTGTATTATTTAGACAACAGCAGCTATAACCCAGTGAAGTGGGGGCCAAGAAAGCGGAATAGAATATTTTTTTATTATCTCAACGATTCCGATTCCGTGGAATGTGGGGGGAAAATCTGCTCTGGAAGGTTGCGAAATGTACACTTTTAAAAAATGAAACGTCCTTAGTCATCGTCTTGTATTTACTAAAAGCACTCGTGTTTTTTAACTACAGTAAAAGTTGACTAGTGGGTACATGCCTTTAAATTAAATAATCTATAAATGAAAAATGTGTTGAAAATTAAATTCAACAGTAACAAGTGTTAAATAGAGCTCAACGCACAAAGATTCCTATTGGTTTCGCAATAAAACTCTTAATTTACATAAAAAAAGAAGAAACCAACATATTTAAAAATTCAGAGTTCAATTTATGCAAAATAAATCCTAAAAAAGTGGTAAAAATGGAAACCAAGTCGTCAGCTTCCATTAATTAAAGCTAAGTTCTTCAACAAAAAATTCCTGTAAAATTTAAGAACACAAGAATATTTGTTTCAGTGCTTGTTTATAGTTTAAAAATGCAAATTTAATAAAGCCATAAGACGTTGTGCAATTATTTAATAAACCTAAAGGGAATTTCTAGAATTTTAAATTTATATATAATTAAAATCAAGGCAATCTGTTATGACTTTGTTTTATATAATTAAATTCTATTAACTCAAAACCACTTTCATTAGTATTCTAAATTATTAATAGTTTTAATTTATAGAAGCTCACCTGTAGGAAACAGAAGGCCAGAAGGCAGACTCTATTTACTCCAAGTGCTTCTTTGGGTGGAAACAAATCTCGTAAATCTTTAAAATCGTAAAGCAAACAAATGCATAAGAACACCAGAGAGATCGCAAAGAGCCAAAATACGAAATGCCAAATGTTTATTATTGTAAAATAAACCCATGGAGGCTGGCAGGGCCTGAGTAGCGCGCAGAGATTGAGATAAATAAAAGGCCAAAACTTCCGGGTCATTGCCTGAACGCAATGGCAATGGTTTTGCCTTTGGCAAAAGTCGAGTTTCCACTCCTGGAGCTCCCATCTCCTTTCGTTTTTCCACTGAGAGGGCACTTCAATTACCATTTTCTTTTTGTGCCGCAAAACCTATGGTAATGCCAAAACATCTCAACGTGTAGTTAAAATAAATTGCAGGCTAAGGAAACACTCGGCATGGATATTAAATTATTTGAAATTTCTTAATTACTAAACAAATGAAATGGGCTCGAACATATTCCCTTAGATTGTTTATCCAAACAGGCAGCCTATTCGGGGAGACCGACATAATAACCATTAAGGCAATTACAACCATTATAAACAACAATATCGAAATGAGCAATACAGAAATGCCAGCTGAACTTGAAAAACAAATTTAAGCATGCTTGAGATCCAATATTTGGGTAGCCAGGTCTTAATAGTGTCTACGAGAAAAGCCCAAGGAACAATAAAAACACCAGCAGCGGATTCTTTCATTCAGCATCAACATTACGGCGAAACAAGTATTGCTATTCCGGCGTTTTCCGCGTGGCCGCATTTTCCGAGTGCTTTAAGTGTTTTCCCAGGTAAGACCCAGCTAGATAAATGCAAATTAATTCGCAGGACGCTAGTGAGAGCATTTGTGCACAGTGAAAAAATATTTATTAAATAGAGAGATTAAAAATTTATTCTGTTATGACTAGTTTTTAACTAGTTTAAATCAACTTTAAGTAACTTTTCATCTTAAAAAAACACCACTTATATTTAACATAATTTTGTGATAGTTTCCTGTAAAAAATAAGATATTTCTCAAGAATTTCTTTTCGTTCGTGTATATATGTATGGGAGTGTGTAATTGGCAGGACGATGTCTGGCATAAATCTCTCACCTGAAGGAATTTTCTAATATCGCGAAGGTGTTGCATACCAAACGGTGCTTGAAATGAGCAATTTGCCAAAAAACTTTCGGCATAAATTGTTGCTGGAAATCCCACTTCTGCTGGTTAAACCCCCATTGCGACGCCCATGGCGTTAGGCAAAAAAAATTAACAAAAATTAGGCCTGAAGTTTGTTGGCAAGCTCGCAAATGTGTTGCGGCTTTAAGGGATAAAGAGCTTTGGCGCACACACACAGCAAAAGGCAGTAATTAACATTAATAAGACTCTGAGGCGGCAGCACACAAAGGGGAAAGTTTGAGTTTTCCGGGGGATCCCAGGGTTTCCATACGCTCCAGACGACGCCGACAACTAACTGACGACTAACTGAGTGACGGCGCAGCAACATTATTCATTCGAAAGACGTATGTATGCATGTGATTTAGTGGCAGGACGAACCCCACCAACTTTCCAGACAACTGAAACAGTTTCAGCTCTGTTTTGTTCTCTTCTGCTTTTATTTTTCAAGGCCGAGTTCATTTTGAAATATGCGCATAAATTAGAAATAATGTGCGTGCGACTTGTTAACACGCCCGATGGATGGAAAAGTTCCTTGACCAACACACACACGCACATTCCGGCCAACTTTAAGCCCTCGAAAAGCGTACTGTTGTTGCGGCCAGTGTCAACATTTCAATAGCCTTCTTAATTGCCCAACGAAGGGCTTGACATTCCGGCTCCACTGGCTTTCAACAAAAAGATTGATACATTAATTAAGCCCCGGGATCCGGAGCCAGGTTTTCATTGTCCTCAGCGCTTAATTGGCTTTTTTCCCGGGATGCGGCAAAAGGTCACAGAACAGCGACAAGCGACCAGCGAAGATTGATTAAATTTCTTTAAAACAGCTTAATTGAATCGCGATTAAGCCTGGAAAGGGAAAGGGAACACTATCGTCGAAAAGGGGACGCCATAAGAAGAAGAAGAAAAACAAAAATCCCTGGCCATTTTGCGACATTTTATTAACGTGCGATTGACTTCCGGGGGGGACTAAATGTGGCAAAAAATGTCAGTCAGAAAAGTGGAGGAGCGCTGGCATTCGATTGAGCGTGCAAAAGTGGCTCAGCCAAGGCGACGTATCGGGATATAAGAATATATGCCAGGTTCTTGGCAAATGCCAAAACTTGTATGGCAGCCACAACAAAATCCATTGAAGCGAGAAATCGACTTAATGCATTAGCAGCGGAGTGGAGAACACGGCCAGAAAGACACGTAGAGCAAACATTTGGGGCTTACCAGGAGCGGAGTGTGTGTGTGTGTGTATGTGTGGGTGTGTGAACCGCATAAACTTCAGATAGGTAGGTGGGCGTAAAGCCCGGCGGTATAAAATTGAAAATTATGACAAGCTGTTGGCATCATTGTCAGCGCAAATCAGTGTTGCCTTTAACCAATCTTTTCTTTCAGGAAAATAGCAGGATGGACACAAAAAAAAGGGTTGAGAAATAAGAAATAGGATAACTGGGAGGATATTAAAGAATTCTTGGTTTTATTTGTTAATTTATAGAATTTTTGGGGAGCTTTATTTGTTATATGAGTATTTCTTTTATAAAAACTGCATCTAAAATTCCCTATTACTATTTGAAAGATAAAACGAAAATTCGGAAGAATATTAAATAGTTTGGTTTTTTATTTAGTAAATTAGATGATTTTTGGTGTTTTTTTCATCTAAAATTCCCATTCAGATTATAATTTAAATAATATCCCCTCAAAAAATCATCAAGTAATTCCCTAACAAGGTGTTTACTGACACATTTTTCCTGCAGTCTCAGCTCAAAGAAAAGCAAGAAAATATGTCCCTGAAAAGGATAACTTGACAGAACTGCCTGGCAAACTGCGACGACTTTGGGCCAAAATGCAAGCAGAGCACAAAAGTGGCAACATAGACGTCTAAATGGCTGACAAAATCCTGGCCCAAAAGTGGATGCTAAGATCCCTCCAGGTTCTCCTCCATCACGGAGCCACTCGCATATTCATATCGCTTCATTGCTATGCAAGTTGATAAACTTGAGAATCCGACGACAACAACAGACGGAGCACGGCAATAACAACGTCAACAAGTCGCCATAAAACACAAGCAAACAGAACTCGCTGCCGAGACAGATGCAGAGATAGAAAGCGACAAAGATACAGATACAAGATACAAGATATATTCCACACCCACCACATGGACTACGAATGGGACGTCTGGAGCGACAGGGCAAACAGTGGGATTTCAAGGTCCCTGGCTCCGTACTAAGATGAGTTTCCTGATTAAGATAAATATAAATATACACTGAAACACCGCGCCCGGCTACGTGTATTGCGTCATAGAGCTAGTGAATCTGGTCGTATATTAATATCATACTATCGTGATTTATAAGGCGGAGGAGCACGTGAAAGCGCTTTCTCTTCTCCTTGTGAGTGGAAAATAAAACCAGACCAATTTTATTTCGTGTTTTAAAGATAAACAAATAAAACCACGTTTGTTCACCCATAGATTTTCGCCAGCTCGATTGATTCCGCTGTTCAATCTAAAGGCTATAATGGCCATCATCGCTGCTCTATATGGCTATATGTGCTATTTATTTAAGGATTAACAGCGCATCAGCTTAATTGCAATAAATCAACTTTATTGACAGTCCCCGCCAGGCACTTTAAATCGCATTTTCAAAAGGTTTTTGACTTTAATGGATTTTATTTTTTATCCCATAATCTCAGGTAGATAAGATAACAAAGATAATAAACCCTCACAACTTATCACTTATCCAGTTGAGTAATAAAACCAAGAGCGAAAGTTTCTGTAGAATCAAATTGATGTCTGTATTTAAAAAAAATCCAGACAGACATATGATCGATCTGGGAGATATCTGGTAACCGAATTTACAGACTGAACTGTTTTTATTTCTTTATAAAATGTAGTCAAGCTGAGTACTAAAAAATACTCTGCTGCGAGAGAGATAAAAAAAGAGTCATAAGCACGTTCGTTTGATATCTTTAATAAATCGTTGGAGAGGGTTTCACTTCTGCTTATAAAGTAAATGCTATGCCACAGCTGACCATTGGAGCATAAAATATAGATTACCTCGTTTGGTTTTTATGCCAGACACTATAATACATACCAGCATACAAGCAAAAGCTGAGGTTAACCGAAAAATATGCTAGACAAAACCAAATATTGATTGGCAATCGAATGAATCCTGATGTTAATGACTCTCCATAACGGTTGGCCTATATGGGTGGTCCTCATTGATTAGAATTATCAGCAAAAATATTTGATTGTACTTTTGCACAGGCTGTGTGCAAGGACAATAAATAAAGGAATTTCTGCATTTCGATGTGGGCGATTTGACCCGGTTTCCAAAAATATTTCTGCTTGGATTAAATAAAGAAAGCATATATGGCTTTATGTTTGTCAATAAAACATGAAATTTATAAATGGTGTGTCAATGTTTTTGGAATGCATTTATTTTTAAGCTTGCTTGAATTGTGTTTCTTTTGGCGAATTAATAAAAAAAAACAAGCAAATATAAATGCAAATATAAAATAAATATAGCAAACAATAATATAAATTAGTATGCAACATATTTATATTCTTTATTGATTTTCTGAAAGCTCAGCTTAGTTTACTATTTTAAATTTGATTTTTAATATATAAATATTTCAGCTATTTAATAATAATTTATTTATGAGAAGATAAACCTGCAGCCAAAACTGCTTGAACTAAAATTCTAAGAGAAATACCAAACAAAAAATATTTCGAAGATGCTGCACCAAGTCTTAATTTCTCAAAAATGTAATTTTGAAAGGTTTTTTGATTTTGAAAATGTTCTTTTTTTTTATTATTTACACATTTTAAAGCACCCTGAAAGATAACTGCATTTAAATTCTTTCGAAATTCGTCTAATTTCACAAAAACAAGGTATGTTGTTAGCTAGATAAGCATTACGGTTGCTTCCAGACCTTTTAGAGAGAAAGACAGGACACTTAAGGTAGTCGTCGCTCTCTCTGGATTTCTTTTCGAAAGTCATAACTTTCACGTTTTTATAACTTTATCAGTGAGGCATATTTAATACAGATGTGCGCTGGGCTAAATAAATTTGTCGCATGTCATAAACAGGGCGCTGGGATTCTTTATTCCTTCATCCTTCCTACTTCTTCTTTTTTTTTTTTTCGTCAGGAGGAAGAGGGTCTTAAATTTTTAATGAAACACAAACATATTTTGTAATAGGTTTTATATGCCGCTCTCTCTCTCTTCCGGCTCCCCGCACTCAATTCACAATTCATTGTGTATTTGAAAAGCGCTTTGAGTGCCTGTGTGTGTGTGGCGAATATGTATTGGTAAACATGAGGCTCCTCCGGACTCCTGCAAACCCTGTTAAATGCAAATCCCAACCCAACCCAACCCAGTCCAGGCCAGGCCAGTCCAGTCCTGTCCTGGTCCTCCCCCATATTGCCGATTTGGGTTTTGGGATCAGTTGGTCGCTTTGGGTGCCATTGTGGCGTTTTCCGTTCCGTTTGGACGACTGTGCAAATATGAATATCGGTTTAAAGTTTAAACAAGCTTTTCGCATTAAATTGACAAACAAACATTTAGCGGCTCGGCATGTGCACACACACACACCTTCGAGGCCGAAAACATAAGCCTCTTAATGGCCAGAAATTCGGATTCCGGAGCGT